TTTTTTTTGTCTTGTTAAACGGTAATCACTCTGATTGTGAAATGCAATTTAATCAGCTTTTAAATGCAAAAAAAATTGTAATTCACAAGCAGCTTGTCGAAGTTTATGGCAAAGATGCATTGACTGATCAATGGAGGGCAAATGTTCACGAAAAACGACAGCTGGCTTTCTTTAGGAATTATTGGATAATCCACCTTATAGTACCATCAAACATTTATCTTTTCTCGACGGTTACGACTTTCCTAAAAATAACCCCTGTAATTTAGAGAATTCGGCTCAATGAAGGTGAAGCAGTCTTCCCTTTATCTCAAACTCAATAACATTGAAAGAAAATGTTTGATTGTGAAATAAAAGGCCACTTCTCTTCCTTATAGCAAAGCTGGTTAATCCTTCGAGAAGGTCTCTGAAGCAGCTATATTGTTTGCCAAACTCTTTAAAGAACAAGTATCGAGGCTAAAGAAGACAAGAATCCTGGAGTTCTTTGGCATGCAGAAGATGGTAGTGTCGGTCACCAGACTCGAGTTGGTCAACATGGCCACGTATAAACCTGACGATCTTAGTTCAGAAATTCTTTCGGGACTTTTTTTACTCTACTACTCTGTCAGGATCTTTCTCCCAAGATGGACAAGAAATCCGTGAAGGTTTTGGTTGCCAACAACTTTGAAAGTGTGGCGCTCGCCACCAAAAAAGGCGATTTGGTAGAGTTCTACGCTTCCTGGTACTGACACTACAATCAGTTTGATCCAGTTGGCAATAAAGTCTGTAATAATAATCAAAATGAGTCTTTTGCGAGGAAAAAAATCAAGTCGTCTTCAAAATTTAAATTGTGGAGACGACTTTTGAGTTTGATTCCTTGCAAATCTACTTTCAAGTTGTAGAACATTTGCTTCATTCTTGTAGCCAAGATGTATATAATACACTAAAAATTATGAGCTTCCCTTAGCTGAAATGTACAAAAAAGGATAACTGTATCATAGCCAAAGAAAAAGGATTGTGGAAAAACTTTCAACACAGTATTTCAAAAACTGTGCTTTTCATGTACTTCGAAACTGTGAGGTGNAAATAAATATTTTCGAAGATATTACAGATTTAAAATGCAGGGACATAGCGGTTGTGGCGGTACCGGCCGGCGGCGCGTGCCTATAAATAGCGCGTCAAAGACTATGCTTCGCCCTATAACACTTCATGATTAGCAGATATCGCACGCGTTCATATGTATATTTAGTATCAGCATTGCACCCGTACGGAGCCAGGTCGGGTCGCTAGTTTGATCCAAATCAAAAAGAAAGCTTACTGACCCACTCTTAAAAGGGGAAGGGTGTAAACTATGATTAGACAGTAACTAATGATTAAAAAAATATATTTGACTGATTTTTTGTAGGGAAGGTAGAGCAGATCCATTAATTTTTGAGAAAAAATAAAATATAACAAGTTTTCCTGTTGAAATAAGTTTAAAATCGATATCACAAAATTTATGTTCATAACAAGATAAAAATAGTTGACCAAATATTTCGAAATTATGAACATATTCATCAACTATTTTTAATATGTTTGGAGTGTGATATCTCAAATGTTATAGCACATTTCAAACATTCGGAATCAAAATGAAAAAAATAGATTCCAAAACATATTGGGCAATGCTGAAAGTAAAAAGCCAGCTTTATTTGTCATTCATTTATTAAAAAATATAAAATCTAGTCGTCCCTCCACACAGTTTCCACTTCATCAGTCCTATACCTTTGGGTGATGGTAGCATCCTCCCAGGCCATTCGAACCCCTGTCTTGAACATTTCGGCTCCTGCATGGGCAATCATTACCCCGTTATCAATGCAAAACCTTTCGTCTGTAGCATATAACTTGGCTCCTCTTTCTTGGCACATTATTCCCATCATCTCTTGTAATCTTAAGTTGCAACCCACACCCCCAACTAAAAGTACTTCCCTTGAGTTGCAGTGAGCTAATGCTCTCTCCGTTGTTTCGACCAACATGGCGAATATTGTTTCCTGCAAAAAATTAAAAAAAACTTCATGAAAACATTTTTGCATATGGATTCTTGTTGCCTGAACTACACTAGTACTTTTCCATATATTCCTGATAGTCCTCATAATTTGAAAAATGCTTTCAAAGCATTTGCCAAAGTTGCCAAGGCAACTCTTAATAGGCTTTCCTGTTTCATGTAAAGGATGTTCCCTGGATCCACGGTTTCCTGGATCCCTTGTAGCTGTGGATCAGTCTATATTATTGGAACTTCAAAAAGAAGTGTAAATACCCATCTCTCTGAACACAGAAGAACCCACAAGCGCGTTGAAGAGACCCAAGAATACGAAGTCAATTCGAATGGCATAAAAACTAAATAGTTACCGAATGTAGGCAATTTCTATCGAGGAAGAGGGGATTAACATATAAATCTGGCTACATGCACTTAATTGCTTCTGTATCGGGTCATTTGATTCAATCAACGGAGACCCAAACTAATAGTGTCATATTAGTCATAGATCTTAGTTCAGAAATTCTTTCGGGACTTTTTTACTCTACTACTCTGTCAGGATCTTTCTTCCAAGATGGACAAGAAATCCGTGAAGGTTTTGGTTGCCAACAACTTTGAAAGTGTGGCGCTCGCCACCAAAAAAGGCGATTTGGTAGAGTTCTACGCTTCCTGGTACTGACACTACAATCAGTTTGATCCAGTTGGCAATAAAGTCTGTAATAATAATCAAAATGAGTCTTTTGCGAGGAAAAAAATCAAGTCGTCTTCAAAATTTAAATTGTGGAGACGACTTTTGAGTTTGATTCCTTGCAAATCTACTTTCAAGTTGTAGAACATTTGCTTCATTCTTGTAGCCAAGATGTATATAATACACTAAAAATTATGAGCTTCCCTTAGCTGAAATGTACAAAAAAGGATAACTGTATCATAGCCAAAGAAAAAGGATTGTGGAAAAACTTTCAACACAGTATTTCAAAAACTGTGCTTTCCATGTACTTTGAAACTGTGAGGTGCTTACAATAGGGTTAGTTCGTTAGTTGATAGGGGTTATGAAATGTCAAAAACTTGGGCCGCCATGTGTGACGTTTTTAGAGGCAAAACAGTGCTAAATTTAAACTGATACATAATTTATTCCTAAGGGTGGAGTGTTCTGACTTACACACATATTGAGACCCCAGCGTCAACTCTCACAAACCTATTCAAATTCTTAAAGTTTCGAAGTCAAAACATATAAAGACATTTTTTTTACTACGTAGGCAGAGTTATAACTATCTGCGATGCATCTGGGCCTCAAATATAAAAACAACAAAGTTGCTATCGATTGTGTCACTATCACTACAGTCGTTTCCCGCTGTCTGTCCCTATGTAGATCTTTAAAACTACTCAGCGGATTTTGATGCAATGTTTTTAATAGATAGAGTGATGCCTAATAAAGTAGATATACACTTATAATTTTAGAGGTTTTTAATGTGATGTAAATAAACACATTTTTTTTGATCTTACATTGCTGCAAAAAAGTCTGTGATAGTGTAAATATATCTCATAGGAATAACCAATTTTTATCCTTAAGAAATATTGGCTTATTTACGAATCAATTTTAAGCAATACAGCACTAATCCTTATCTAAATCAGTACCTTCAATTAGTGTCCGACCTAAAATCGAATTTCGGCAACGGTCTCGGTTTCAGCCAAAACCGAAACTTCTTTACAAGGATTATGTTTTGGTGAAAAAATAAAGAAAACGGTATTATAATCAGTCAGTCTTTTTTGTTTTATCTTCAAATCGCAACGTTATGCAGTCTTCCATTTTTACTTATTGATAATCAACATAACGAACCCTTATTTAAGAAAAAATATTAATGGTTTTTCAAAAATATCAAACATAANATGAGTAAACTGCGTAAGAAGTCAATTCGAATGGCATAAAAACTAAATAGTTACCGAATGTAGGCAATTTCTATCGAGGAAGAGGGGATTAACATATAAAACTGGCTACATGCACTTAATTGCTTCTGTATCGGGTCATTTGATTCAACCAATGGAGACCCAAACTAATAGTGTCATATTTGTCATACATCACTCTTATTAATGTACTACCATGCATACTTTCATTGAAACATTTCCTATGGTATTAAGCAGGAGTTGTAAACTCATCTTCCAAAATATCAGAATATTGACTGTTACAAGTATATACTCTTATGAGATATTAAAATATGTAAAATCGCATATAACCAGTTTTCCTACTCTTACAGCCTGGCTACGGGACACTCGTCGATGCGAATATTCGCGCGGTGCGAACGGCGAAGCGTCTAGCGACGGAAACAAACGCATAGCAATGTACTTATGAAGCCACACGCAACGGCGAAGCGACCGGCGAAATGTACCAAGCGAACCGCGTGGGCGACTTTCGGCGCGACGGGCGAGTAAAACAAATACATGAATCAGTCGCGGCGAATAGTGCAGTGCTCAAACGAGTTTAGTTGTTTTCGCCGCGAAAAATTAACACCGAGACTTTTATTGCTGAAATACTAGCTAGACTATCTATTTGGAAGACTGATTATAGAGTTAGAAATTTATTATTCATTCTACCGTCAATTACAAGTTAGAAGTTGTTTTTTGTTTTAGTTGTATGAAAAGTTACTGTCATTTAATTTAGATTTTTGCAATAAATAACATAATTATCTGAAAGTGTTTTTATTTCATGAAATATTAATATGCAGGGTAACATTTAATTAGCTGATAATATTTTGGGCAAAGATAGTTCCAAATAAATTTAGTTATAAAAAAATCGTTTTCACTGATGGATACTATAGGTAATTCTCCAAAATATGATCAGCTAATTAAATATTACCTCTATACATAGGTATATAGATGAATACATAATGTAGATTAATATAGATGGATATGTATAGATAGGTAAGTACATAACTTAATGTCATAAACAATTTTTCAGCAGCACTCAAAATTCTATTTGCATTAACTTTTTTATCCAATTCTGGTTGAATATTCATAAGAATATAATCGAAGGTTTCAATACTCATCCTGGTATACTCAAAAAAATATTTCTGGATATAATCTGTATTTCTCGTACTTCTTGTGGAATTCTCCATCTACGCCCCGATTCTTATTCAAATCGTGTACTCCACAATCTCTTACAAATATTAGGTCTTGAACCAAAAAACTATTACTTTCCAAGCAATATCGAGATAAATTCGATAAAGACACTTCGCTGTCGGACTATTGGTCGCGGCGGCGAACGTGACTGCCCGTGGCCTGTAAACGGTGTCGCGCGAATGGCCGCCTCGCCTCCCACTTCGACGTTCGCACCGCCGATCCCCGTGGCCAAGCTGTAAACAGATTCATGCATTTGTTTTGCTCGCCGGCCGCGCCGCAAGTCGCCCACGCGATTCGCTCGGTACATTTCACCGGTCGCCGTTGCGCGTGGCTTCATAAGTACATTCCTATGCGTTTGTTTCAGTCGCTAGACGCTTCGCCGTTCGCACCGCGCGAATATTCGCATCGGCAAGTGTCCCGTGGCCAGGCTGTTAATGGTCATAAGAATTATAATACTAGAAATTCCCTACAGTTGCAAGTGCCAACACACAGAGTAGTTGTATCTGAATCATGTCCCAGGCTTATGGCAATTGAAATGTACAATAAACTTCCATGTACAATAAAAAATTTGGCTCTAAACCAGTATAACTATCAAATCAAAGAGTTGCTTCTGGATAAATCCTATTATTCTCTCAAAGAATATATGGATGATAACTTGAGCATGTAACACATGTACAGGGTCATAGGTTACGACCCTAGTCTTTGAAAGTTCACTCTTTTAGTATTCTTGATGTTCACTCCTAGTCCATGACAATTAGAAAATGTAAATTTAGAGAAAAAGACAGTGATTTAAAGCTTATTGTTATTCTACATTGACCACGATACATTAATGGTTTGGAATCAATTTTCGAAAAACTGAATATAAACGTAGCCTACAAAACATCACATTCATTTGACAAGTGCAATCCTAAGGGAAAGATGGAAACTGAAGGTAACTAATTTCTTATGCTAAAACAATTACCTGCAAAGAAAAACATAGGTCTTCCTTTGAGTAGCCTGCACCTAGGAGTTCGTTAGTTTTTTCTTCCATATAAGTCAAGATCCCTGAAAAGCTAACATCCATTCCTTTGACACAATAAGGAAGTGTCACAAACTTTTCCCCTTTTTTTGCTAACTGCTCTATATTAAAGCCTGGACTAGGATCGTTCGATATTTTCAGCACTCTAGCAAATCTATCCAAGCAATTTCCTACAGCTATATCTATCGTTTCACCAAATATTCTGTACCGTTTCCTTGAATAGGCAATGATTTGGGTGTTACCACCACTAACATAGAGGACTGTCGGATTTTGTGCTCCTGTTATCAGCCGGCCCATTTCAATATCTTTGTTTACATCAGTAAGGGTGTAAGGGTTCATGTACTTATATAAGAAGTAAATGTCAGTAAGTTTAAAATAAGTAATTGAAAACCATATAAAGAGGTTAAATATCCCATTTGGTGCCATTTTCTTGCAACACTTTAGGGTTGTTATAATACTGATTTGAACAGACAGGTTAAATATATTTGTAGAAAATAACATGAAAATTGCGAAAACTATTAAGCAATCAATAATTACATAGTATCTCTTAATTGTTTTTGCTACCAATTTGAAAATGATATAAATTTGGTAATTAATTTATTGTTACAAATCTATTTATACCTTTAAAGGCGAGAATACCACCCTACCCCTTGTGGTATAAACAATCCCAAATCTTTTTGGAGATTTGCAGACACATGAATTCTAAACTTCTGAAAAGGATACGACCGATACAATGATTAACTCCTAGTATTGGCTTGTTCCAGAGTTGGGCTACAGTTCTAGCCACAACAGCGACTGTGGCTAAAGGAGCCCCCATACCTGGCCCTTTTGTATAACAAATGACATCAATATCCTCTGGTTTTAGACCAGATTGCTCAATGGCTTCCTTTAAAACTTGAAGTATGTGTTCCTTATGATGCTGAGCTGTCTCTTTTGGAAGGAATCCCTCCCCAGGTGGGGTTATGTAGGTTCTTCTGCAATTTGATAAAATTTTGCCATTGCTAACAATACCAATACCTAATTTATTGGCGCTTCCTTCGAATCCTAAGGCAGTGACCATTTTATCTGTATTGCTCGTTGCCAGAAGACATGTAAGTTCAGACACAGCTGAGTACTTTACATACTAGGAATACAAAAAAATTATTTTCCACTCTTTGATAATAATGTAGTTTTGTATATCTTTCAGAGACATTTCTTTTAAAATTCTTTCATATCAAAATAAAATTTATTCATTTCATAGCATAACCAACATAACCATGAAAACAATTTTCTGAATGATTCTTCTTCTTCTGTTTGGGTGCGTTCGACATTTAAGGTCATTTCTCCAGTTCCGACGGTATGTTCCGTCCGTTGATGATGATAAAAAGGTCAACGGTACTTTGCCACTTTCGCACCTTCGTATGTATATTATATAAAATGGTAATGTTTGAAGAGAACGAATGTTTGAGGAAGGGTGTTACTGTACTTGACTACCTTGCAAGAAATGCATTTTACTCTACTGAAGAATTCCTACAACTCCAGGTATTATTCTATAATTACTTTATTTTACTTGTACAAATATATAGATTTTACAATTTCAACTAATTTAGCCGCATGTATAACATTTTTCATGATGAATAAATATCTATTCTATTCAAGTAAAACATAGGTAAAAAGCCCTATTTGACGGTACGAAAATGTCATGTAATATTTTGAGAAATGTTTCAAAAACAACCGATTTCTAACCACTACTTTTGAAACGGGATGGTTGTCAATAAGTCTGTTGCTTAAATATTTTCGATGTGAAAACTGGAAACCATATTCTATGACTATACATTTTCCAATTATTTAAATATAACTTTTACTCTCTAATCACAAAAACTATTTGGTTCAGAATGTGACTGAAGTATGTTATGACCATCACTAGTTCAAATATTCCAAATCAAAACTCGTCGTCTGCCAAAAGTGTCAATTCTGTTTAAAATCTGTTTTTCCGTTAACCAGCTGTCACAATCCTACGAACGACAACCCTCAGAAGTCAAAACTTGTGCGAGCTAAGGATTAACGAGGTCTTACCTTTTAAAGTGTGATTGTCACTGTTCCCACATCAAATCATCAGTTATCAAGAAACCGTGTTCCAATCTACCATAAGGGCACAGAACACTCTTTCTCAAATGACAAAAAAAATTACTTTTAAAAAGCGCCAGAACTTGTATTTCGAGTTGAAATGACTGATTGAAAATGCCATTCATTTAAAAGAAATACCCATTAAACTGTTTAGTGAAAATCTCATGATACAGTATTTCTTGATTACTTATGGATTTTCTTCAAGTATGGATTCCATCACATATGAAAAATAAAAAATTCAAAGTACTCCAAGAAAGTTTATGTTGACTTCAAAGAAACAGTACATTAAACATATATAGAAAAGTTCGTAATACTTAAATTAATGTCTCCTATTATCGGTTAATTATATTTACATGAAAAATGTCCGAATTAGTGTACTTCTGATATACTGAAATAACATCAATAAACATTATGGGAAAACCTGCATCTATTCTATTCTAATCCTATACTTTGGATCTTTTCTTGGCAATTGCATCCTCCACTGCTTTCAACTGCTTCAATAATTCCTCCCTCCTTGAAGTGGCCTTTTTAGATTTCGGATCACCGGGAGGCGGAGAACTTGCTTGCCTTTTCTTGCCTTGCACAGAATCAACCTTTCGGCTAAACTCTGCAAGTTCAGGCTTCTTGGCACCAACTGGATTTTTAAGATTTAGCTTGATCTGTTTTTTCTCCAAAGCTCCACCTTTGAGTGCGTCCATTGCTTTTACCAATTCTACCGCTGAAAAATATAAAAATTGAAATATTCTATCTTTCACAATGAACAATTGTTATTTACCTGCAGGCCTTCTTACAGGTGGACTGCCGTCTCTGCTGCTGGAACTGCTCGAATCTGATGAGTCTGAATCACTTGAACTTGAACCTGAACTACCCGAAGATGATTTCGATGATCTGCGGCCTTTTACTCTAGCTAGAGCAGCAGCTACTGCTAGCTTGCTTCTGGTTCTTCCGAACTGATCTTCTCTGGAAGGAGCAGGAGGATTGGCTGCTCCAGATACTCTCATCATACCTGAAAGGAAGGAATCTAATAAAACCATTAATAGAAGTGCATGCAATTACAATTTTTTCACTTGGTAGTATGAATTGAAAAACAGTATCTTGAGACGCAACCTCTCATCATTAAAGATTTTCTTATTGTTCGCTACAAGAGTTTCTTATTGTTCCCTGGTTGAATGCATTGTGGAATTTAGGATATCATTCTGGAGTCCTATTCGAAATAAATTTTTAAAACATGCAACCAATCAATTAACTATAATCAAGTTAGGTTTATAGTATCCTTGTCATTTCTCAAGGATAATAGGACAATGAGGAATGTTCCTCCTGACAAAAATCAAGTAGTTTTCATAAAAGAGCTCTAAAACAACGCATTTTAAACTTAACATTTCAACTGTTTTCTTTAAAAAATTATTTAAATACTTAAAAAAGAGGAATGAAATAATGCATTCAACATTTAAAGGGATTCATTTCTATTTCACCATTTGGCAACATCGCCTATAGCTAATAAAGGACAATTAATCTGTTACGTGTATGAGATAAACAAAGATGACATATTTCAAGGCGTGCTATTCTGTTTACTCAAGTTCCGAGTTCCAAGACATTCTGTGACTTATGACATTTTGTGCACCTAACCTATCTTCCTCTATATAAATAAATAACAAAACAACTGTTGTTTATGTGGCTTGTGGAGGTAGTATTGAACTATAATTTATATTTTGCCTTAATTGTTGATTTATAAAGATAATTTTCCTTTAAAAAGTAGAATATCTAGGTACGTATAAATTATTTCAACTTGATATACGTGCTGTTGCCAATATGTGAATTAGAAACAAATCTCTTTAAAAATTAAAACCTAACATTTGAAACATCAATTTGAATACTTTTTGAAGAATTTGAAAAACTCATGAATTAAACTCAACTTTATTTTGTTCAAACTTGCATTTGCTGTAATAACCCAAATTGAGGAACATTCCCCATTGTATATCTGGTAATTATTATTATATAGGCACATTGACTACCCCGATATTTTTTCTCGTCACAATTAATAATAATTAGTTGATGAAAACAATTAAGCTGTAAAATTGACAAGGTAAATTATTGGAAGTGTAATAACATTATTGGATGATCTGCAAGAATATAAGTAAATGGAAGTACAGTACAAAAACAAATTCCTTTCAAAGTTAATGTGAAAAATGAATATCAATTGTAAGAAATTCAATTTCTATGCAAAAGAATAGAAAAAAAAATAGAGACAGATGGATTTGTAAAAGTTGTACCTCTATAGGATTACAGAAATGCTGGAAACCAATAACAGCAATGAAATATTGGAAAATTCAACAAAGATTGTTAATGATAATATAAAAATGACTGAATTTCTCATCTGAAAAATGTTTAAATTAAAATTGAAAATAAAAAGATACTGATACTTCTTGAAGAAATTAAAAGAGACTTGTGAAAAGAAAACACTGTGCTGAAAAAAAGGAATGACGCAATGAAAGATATACAATACAACATTTGAAAGAGAAAATGAATAACGAAGAAAAAATCAACAAAAAAATAATATTGAACCCATTTGATAATTAATTTTTCAAATCCTTTTCTTAGAAACTGCTTGTGAATTTTTCCAACTTGCCTTATTCATATCTATCATACTAGTCATTGAAATTTTATGATTGTAAGTTTCTTAACGCTGCTTTATTGACACATTGAAAACAGACCTAGTTCAAAATTTTTGCGGGTAATAATTGACCATAAAATTTAATTCACATTGTAACCCTCAGGATGTTTTGCAGTGAGTATAACTTATAAGGAACGTGTTTTTTTCGCGGATAAATCGGCTTATTTCTGACTTAACGATTCTCATTTATGTTATGGAATTCCCTTCTCGGAAGTATGTTGCGAAATTCAATTGCAAACTGGTTTCATCATACAAAAAAGAGCTATAAGATTCATGTGCAATGCCAAAAGTGAAGACTCCTGCAAACCCTTGCTTGAACTACTTTAAATTTTACAGTCTTTGGAATTTTTATTTAAAAACCAGTCTGTGACGTAGCATGTCAATATTTGTACGGATATATCTTCACTCTGTATTTAAGCTATTTTGATGGAATTTGTATTCTATATATGTTTAGTTGTGACTGAAGAAAACTTGCAGCTTTGTCAAGACCTGAGGTTCTTTGGGCAATAAAGCATATTATTATTATTGACATATTTAAAGGCTTACTAAATGAAACAGCATTAGCACCCAACTTTTATCTTACTTTTTAGTATATTTCATTCACTTTTTATTTTTTCCTGTAACTGGGTTATAGTTCTCAAATTGGCTTTACATTTCTAACAGATAATCTGTGTATTTTATATTTTCTCTGCTTTTTTACTCCTTCAATCAATAGCAAATACCAAAGACTATATTCAAGCAAAAATAAAATATTGTTGAGTATCCTCACCTGGAGATGGAGCTCTCCTCTTAGGCGCTGGTGGGTTCATGAGCGCAGCACGTTCGTTGGCAGCCTTCCTTTCGGAAACTATCACGGATGGTGAGACTTGCCTGCTTCTTCTGGATCGTGACCCACGCCTACGGTGCCTCGATGGAGACCTTGATCTGTACGAACTTCGGCTGGAGGCAGAGGAACTACGAGAAGTACTGAAAAAGTATTAATTACCAATGAACTTTATAGATAATATAAACTATAAAATATAAAACAAATTTGTAGTTTGCGCTCAACTTTTTATTTACACACAACAATTTTTCATAGATTTGCAATCCTTCAAATAATCACGTGTTTCCCTATACAAAAATATCTTCAGGCGTCACAATACTTCAGGGGTATTGTGTCGCCTGAAGATGATATTTTATATCAAAACACGTGTCACGGTTTTGTAAACTGTCAAATGGAAATCTCATATTAAAGTGTTTTTTGAATGTCAATTTTCTCAATTTAAGTAAAACACAAGTTTGAAATACGCTGCCAAAAAATATGCATGAGCAAATATACAGGATGGGCCATAAAAAGTATAAGGCAAGGCACGACTTTCGGGGAACGAACTTTTTTATTGCTAGTCTGAACCACGATGTATTGCTAGACTCTGTCCTTAAAGGATAAGCCCGAGTAAGTAAACCATACCATATAATTGTCAAAAAATTACTCTGCTACTAAATTCATTTCATCAAAAATAAAAGTACCTGCTGGATGAATAAGATGATCCTGAACTGTATGACCTTTTTCTTCCGGAATCTTTCCTTCGTCCTGCTGGTGATTTGGATCTCATCCACGGATCTGACCATTCATCTCCTCTACCTATTGTAAATAACAAAACAAGTCCATAATCACATTTAAAGAAAAATTGCTGGCCAAATATATATTAAATATAATAATTCAATGATTTTGTCAAAAGAAAACGTATATTCACCAGGATAGTCTTTCTATATTTAGGTCTTTTTAAAAAATAAGGTGAATGTTCAAGCTTCATACATTTCATTAGCGATTCTTTATATTGGTCCCCTTGTCTTCAAGGTATGTTCATAGTTTCAGCTGTTTAGCAATTTTCTGCTATGGAAAAAATGGATCAGGGAATTAAGAGCTCAAAAACACTTGAAATCTTGACAGTGACATACAGTGATTGTACTTTTGAGTCGAAACAATTTTCACAAATGGTACAAGCTTGTCACAGAAAGCCAAGAAGATGTGAATAACGACGCTTGCCCTGGACGTCTGAGCACAACAACCAATGAAAATGTTGGGAAAGTGAAGAAAATTTTTATGGAAAACCGTCGCATGAGCATCGCTCAGGAATTGTTGAATAACATCAACGCTGATCCAGATTTACTTGAAACTGGTGACCAATCATGGTTATATGGTTATGACATCGAAATCAAAGTCCAATCAAGGCAGGAGAGCCAAGACAAAAAAAAACGCTAAGATCGATCGAATGTCAAGGTTTTTCTCAATGTTACATGGTCGTAAGGTCAATAAGGAGTATTATCTTGAAGTTACGCGCCCCTTGCACAAAGGGGCGATATTGTGGAAAAACAATTCATGGCTTTTGCATTAAAAATAATGCACCTGCTCACTCGTCATTACTTGCTCATTATTTTTTGGCAAAAAACAACACCGTTATGATGCCTCAGTCACCGTATCCATCAGATTTGGCCCCCTGCGACTTTTTCCTGTTCCCAAGATTGAAGAGACCCATGAATGGACGGCGTTTTGAGACGAATGAGAAGATAAAAACCAAATCGCTGAGACAGCTCAAGCTCATACCAAAAAGTGCATATCAGGACTGCTTGAGGGATTGGAAAAAATGCTGGCACAATTGTATTATATCCGAGGGGGATTACTTTGAAGGGGTCGAAATTGATGAATAAATACATCCGTGTTAGGAATCACACGTTAAAAGGTAAGACCTCGTTCTTCCTTAGCTCGCACAAGTTTCTCAACTTCTGAGAGTTGTCGTTCGTATGGTGGCGACAGCTGATTAACGGAAAAACAGATTTTAAACAGACAGATATTTTCTGAGACGTTTGTTTGAAGGTGATTGACAATGTTTCATATATTGGTGAAACTAAGAGGCCATTGAATGTTCGCATTGCCGAGCACAAGAAACACACACAGCGAGGGGAAACCAGCAAATCAGGAATAGCAGACCATGTTTCGACCCATCAACACAACATCGAGTGGTCTCAAGCTGAGATCTTGCACAGAGAGGAACATTGGTTTAGGAGAAAATTCAAGGAAGCCGCATACATGTTGTCCAACAACGTATTCAGCTAAGCCAGCGTAGAAATACGCAACATATGGAAACCCATCATCAAGCAAAAAATGGCCAACTCCCGCCAAAACGGTCATCTCCCACATGAATTCAAAAAGTTAAACCCATACGAAATTTTCATAGAACAAATTTTGTTCATCTCAAAAAGTCCCACAAAACAGATCCTATATTTTTCTTTTGTAAAATCAAGAAATTGAGGAATTTTTTAACAATTTACCCAAATTGCAAAAAAATTGCATTTAAAATAAATTATAATTCTTCACGAATATTTACCTGGTCTTTCTTCTACCCTCTGTACAATCACTTCTCTCTTGGGTTTGCTTCGTTTGCTGCTGCTGGGGTGTGGTTGGGGTTCTTCCTCGTATTTGTTGTTGTAAAAGTCAGGCATCCTGTGCGAAGGCAATTCTCTGTAGGATCGCACTCGTTCTCGAACAGGGGCAACAGGCGGCGCCACTGCTGCAGGGGCGTATTCCGGTTCGTAAACCACTTGTCGTCTTCCAAAGTAGTCTTCAGGAGGTGGTCTAGCTACGGGATATTCAGTAGTCACGTGTCGAACATATCTGTAAAAATAAATGCGAATAATGTAAAGAAGAATGAAATTGTATCGTATTGGCTTTAATATCCCAAGAAATATTATATGTTTATGAATAGGGATTACAAACTATGTGCATGTGTTTACAATCAGTGCAATCGGAAGAAAATATTTTTTAATTTCATTAAAAGTGTACTTATTAGTGAAAACTTCATTATTCATTGAGTATCCTCCAATTCTAACACGAATCAGTATAAAAATCGTACCTTGGTTCTGGTGATGTAACCCGTCCGTAATATCCATTTTCTTTGTCAAATTCTTCCTGCGCCAAACTGAGGTTCATTTTTTTCTCCTCAAAATCTATGTCTTGTTCCTTCCTCTTCATTGATTTCCTCAACATTTCTTTGGCAGTACGAAGTCCTCTTTCCCAAGGAGATTCAATAACCGGTGGTTCCACTTTACCAAATAACCTCTCATCACGAAACTCTCCTGGTACCACAGGCCGTATCAAGTCGAACATTGTATAGTTACCTGGAAATGTTTTTCATGAAACAACATTTTTTTTCAAAGCAATAATGCAGCAAAATCATACATGGATTTGCCTACCGATAAGAAAAATGATTATTAATTGTGTGAATCATGAAATATAGGATATTCACGTTAAGAAGAGAATGACGTCATTTTTGGTAATTTTCTATGTCCAACATAACAACGTTTAAATTCCTAATGAAATGCGTTTAATAGCAATGAAACAAGTAAAATTTCATTTTGTAAGTTGCTCAACTGATAGTAAAATTTCAGACGTTGCCGAATCGAAAAAACACAAGAAATGTTAGTCTTTCTTTTTTTTTTCAGAACTAATCATTTCTTTTGATAAGACCTGCGTATATTCAATATGCCTGGAGCACTGTCGAAATAGTCTCAACAAATTTGTATTTCAACTAAGTAAGTTAATAGTAAGGTTTATAGCAATAAAACAAATCAACATTACAAAAAAATTTGAAAGTTAAAAAAAGTGCACATGTTGGCAACACCGTAACTTGTCATTTTGTGACATCATTCTCTTCTTAACGTGAATATCCTATACTGTTACAGAAACTTCACCACTACAGAATTAGAGGAGTTGCCCTTGAATGATGTAATTCCTACCTGTCAGGTCAAAGCCATATAGTAAAAATAACAATACTCTCTGAAAAAAACGTACATAAAGACTGGCGTACCTCAAGGCTCAATACTGGGCCCGCCCTTCTTTTTGTTATATGACAAAGATTTGCCAAATGTCATTCATTGATCTAATCCCACCTGAGTTAAGGCATTGCCTTCTGGGGGGTTAGTAATAACAACATCCAACAAAAACGGGCAATACGGTACATATGTAAAGCAAAAAATTAGGATTCTTGTCAACCATTTTTTATTGAGTATAAAAATCTGACAGTAGTAGCATTATTGATATTGAAAACTGTATGTCTGATAAGAAAATACATCAACAGCTTTGAAGCCATCCAAAAGAATTATAGTACTCGGCAGGCAGAAAATATTAGATTACCTATTGCAACCTCAAATATTTTTTAAGGCACTCTTATATGAAATGGTTGTGAAATATATAATAATCTACCACTGGAGATAAGAAAAATTGAAAGCTCAACAATTTTTAAAAAAGCATTGAAAACTTTACTAAGTGAGTAACCATACTACTGTGTTGCTGACTTCTCAATTGAAACATTATAAATTGAATTCAATTGCAATACTAGAGTCATTTTGTGCTAGTGTAATTCCCCTGGTCCGATGTAACATTTGATATTTATTTATTCATTAACGGGTAACACCCAATTAAGTTTGAAAGATTTCACAATAAATTATATGAATAATTCAACTAATAATTACATCTAACTCACTTGCTAAAAGTAAAACTAATTTATTGATAAAAAAGAAAATAAATTTACTGAATTGGAATATTAATTAAATAAATGAATGATTAAGATAAGGAAAATTCAATAATTGAGGATGTTTATGTTTATATTTACTACCATTTATAATTTATTTCTGAGTGAGCGTTATGCAAACTTAAATTTTGTTTCATTCAATGAAAAGAAGTCCAGATCAACTTGATTACCACCAATAGCAACTCTAGACAGGGGAGAATGTTTACCGTAGTTACAACAATGAAAATCTATTGTAAATGTATTTGTATTCCTTGTACTTCTAGAAGGAACATGTAAGCCAATTTGTGCTAGCAATGCAGAACAGTTAATAAGAGAATTTAATAATTGGAATAAGAGTTTTAAGTCACTTTCCACTCTACGACTACTTAGCTCTTCATTATATCTGCAACCCTACAAATTTCATCTAATGAATGGTCCTTCAAGGGCATTTATTTTCAACTTGAACGCCAAAAATTTAAGGAATTTGTTTTGTACTCGTTCAATGTTAAGTGCAGGACTTTCATAGATGGGTGTCCATATAGAACTGCAATAATCTTAAACTGATCTTACCAGGGTGAAATACAGCATTTCTATACATTCAATATTAGAGAAGTCCTTGGAAGCACGACAAATTAAGCCTAGCATTTTTGTTGCTTTGTTTATAATATATTTATAATGTAGGTGAAAGTCCAGTTTTTCATCCATCACTACTCCTAAATCAGTTACAAATTCGACATATTTCTCTGTCTCTCTCTCTCAAAAAAAAAAATGATAGGAGTTTCAGAAATCACTATATGTGACTGACTGAATCTTTTATTCATTTCAATTATAAAGATAGATACCTTTTGAATGACATAATAAATAAAGGATCTATATATAAGAAAACAGTCTAAATGAAAAATCAACAGCAAAGTAATTGACACTCACCCTTATCCGTCACACCAGGATGTAAGAATCGACAACTTGCTCCCCAAGTACACTGGCCCCTCGAGAAGAATCTACAAACTGGTCGAGGTTCAGTTTCTTCTGGTCTCACATCGTCCTCATCCGTGACCTCTCCCTCTTCCAGCTCTTCCTTTTCTTCTTTTTCTTTCTCTTCAGGTTTTTCATCAGTATTTGTTTTTTCTTCATTCTGCGGAAGTTGCTCTTCATTTTCGTCTTTTCCTTTGGTCGGTTCAGCCTCGCATTCACCATCCTCAGCTTCGAAATCTAATTGTTCTTCCCCTTCTTCAGATCTTGGAGGTTTCTCTGGTACCTAATGACAAAATAAAGTTGAGAATTTTTAGATTTGAAGCTCTTTCATTGGAGCTGGAATAGTATCTTACTAAACCATTAACCATCAGGTAAGAATCTTTATTTTATTGTTACACACAGACACGGGTATATAACCTCTCAAAATGATAAAGGTAGATAATACATTTTATGAAGAGAAAATAAAACTGGGCAGATTATTCAGATTCAATTCAGAATGGGTATATGCAATTGAATGTCAATAAATGTTCTCATTATTGTGTTTACTTTTTGTATTACACTGTCATTTCCATATCTTCAATTGTTACTTCGTGACAGTGAAATAGTATCTACTTGATAATGAAAAGTACTGCTAATTATGGAAACTGAATTGGTGCCAGGGTCATGGAAAATTGGACGTTTCAGATGCGCTCCACCCAGAGAAGCTGGGTGGGCTTAAAATGAAACATGTTTTTTATTGTCTTACCTTTTTGACTTCAGGAGACGGAATTTTTTCGTCCTTACTTTGAGTACCATTAGTCTTCTCTTCATTGAACACCTCTCTCTCATCAGAGTGTCCTCCCATAGAGTCTTCTAAATCAGAAACGTCAGAAAGATCTTCATGAGATATGTTTATTTCTGGTTTTGGACCATTATTGCTTCTGCTAGTGGTAACAACATCTTTATCGTGGTCTGATTCAATGTCACCTGAAATTGAAATTTATTCAATGACAGTTTCAATACCTATTATTGGATTTGATTGAATTATAGAATGATTATCGAGAATATCCAATATTGAATGATTAATAAACATAACACTTTATTTGGTAAATAGGATACATTCCTAATATACAATAACAAAATTATAACTAACAAATAATTGATTAATATTCCAAAAATCATGACTTATCATCTTATTAGTAATACCTTCAGTTACATTTGTTATAAATATGATGCAGTAGATCAGTTTTAAACCTTATTTATCGGTCATTCTCATCAATTTCTGTCTAGACTGGTGTGAATAATTAATTAAAATAACATATTTTTCTCAAATTGAGAAGAAAATAACATTATTTCTAACGTGGTGTGAATGGGTTTGTGTAATTCATTCTCAACAATCAATATTTTTTAATAACTTGCTATTGGTACTAAGCTAGCTTAGTGCCTAGAGGGGAAATATTAGTACTAATTTTTGTAGAAGAAAAGGATGTTAATAAGAGTATGTGTTTTGTCTCGTATTTTATTGATGATGCATGTGCAATCTTTCATCAATCCAACTGTATATAATATAAGTTTGTAAGTGCTTCTCATGTATAGAAAATAGCTTAGTTGGCTCACTACACTCACAGTTTCATACATAGCTAGACATGTAGTAGCATATGAGAAATATTTTAACTTTAACGTCATAGGAAAAATTCATTTTTTTCAACTAACAAATGCTATTTCTGTTTTTCATGACTTACTACAATAAAAACAAATAATATGAAAACTCAGATTTTTGTATAATTGATAACAACAACACTTTCTCTCAATAATGTGCTGAAAAAATACAGAAAGGATATAATATTTGTATATTTTTCAGAAAACACAAAGAATTGCAATAGAATTCACATCTACCTGAAAATTTTTAAAGATATTTGAAGTTAACGTATATGTTCCACTTTTAGATACAAAAAATGTTGGTCACTATTTTTTTTTTGAGACATCTCTGAAAATGAATTGACAGACCAGGTATTGATGTTTTTCAGAGAAAAATATCGAGAAATACATGAATATGTTAAGGTTATGGTAAAGGCTACTGAAATCTATGAGAAATGGTTCATATCAGATCATAACAAACATTAAATGTATTACTTTCTCTGCGATTTCAATAGTGCGATCAGACAAAAGAATATATGCATAATTTTCAAAATACTCACCATCTGATATTTCTTCTGGTTGAGTATCAGAAGCTTTGACTATATTTTTATTTTTCCTGCTTGAAGAGTCAACACTGCTATCACTGGAATCTGAGGAGATATCATTTCTCTTCCTGGTTCTTCTCGAACCTTTAGATGAAGTAGATTTCCTTGACCCTCTGCTAGATCTAGATTTCCGTGAACTTGAGCTACTGTCACTTTTTACTGATATGTTGTCCCTGTCAGATTTGTGTTGCTGCACATTGCCTCTATGGGGACTCCTGGGAGAGCTACTCCTTGAACTCTGTGACGAAGGGGATTGCGGGGCTTGAGATGACAAAGGTCTACTATTACTTCTTTCACGTGACTTGTGACGTGTTCTCGGTGAAGTTGAATTGCGTCTACTATTTTGGGCAGAGTCATCATCTGATGAACTCGACAAACTATCAGATCTATTTGCGGATACTCGAGTATTTGGAATATCTGGCGATTTACTTCTAGGTGAATGAATATCTTCTGATTTACTGTTCTTTTGAACTAATGATTTGGCCATTGCTGGAGACTCGAGAGATCGGCTACCTGGTCGAGAATCAGGTGACTTACTCTTGATTGAGTAAGTACTTGGTGACATATCCCTAGTAGAGGGGGGATTAGGTGACATACTCGTGGAACGACTGCCATTCTGTGATCTACTTCCACTACGTCTGTCATTGGGAGATATGTCTCTAGGAGATTTGTTATCAGGTGATCTACTTCTCGAAACTTTAGCTAATCTAGTCTCTGTTGAAACACCTTCGGATCTTGTAAAAGGCGTTTCTTGTGAAGAACGTCTCGGGGATCTACTTTTGTTTTCCGGAGATTGAGAGTCACGTGATCTACTTCTGTCAGAATTTGCATTTGAGGATGCCCTTGAACGATCTTTGGGAGATTGAGGCCTGCTTCCTCCAGAACCTCCTGATGATGCTGACTGTGGTCTACTAGGAGGAGAAGATGACCTTGTTGATGAACGTGATTTATTTGATTCTCTTTCGCTTGATTTCTGGCTAGCTCGACTTCGCCTACCTTTTTCATCACCGCTTTCGCTTCCCGAAGAGGCATCTCTGGAATCTTCAGAGTCCATAAGAGCTGAGAACATGAAAAAGCATTACATTTTTGAAAATAAATCATCTCAACCATTCATACTGGACCATTTCACACCTCTGTGTTAGGTAATTGTTCTGAGACCGGTGTTACTTCGATCTTACCTTCGGTCTGTTGTCGGCTCCTATACCATAAAGGCACTGCTGTATTATAGCATTTTTCTTCTTCATAAAAGACATTACAATTCCAAACTATTAACTTATTTGACTTAAACTCGGATTATAACTTCGAGACTCACAACACAAACTACTAAGTCTTTCACGAAATTATACTTTATTCCAAATATAACGATATCGATGTACTGATGTACTTGCGTTGTGCTGTATACATACACAATCTTTGGTAGAAAAACTGTTAATGGCACTTTTATTTTCACGAACTTGTAATTCTTACCTTGTTAATTTGTAATACTCCTGATGAACAAGCTTTGCTCTTGAAGTGTTTGTTGAATATCCAAAATTTTATTCACTATTAAATTCTTGTGTACCTACAATGGGTTAGATAAAAGAAATATAATTTGACGTTTGACAGCATTGACAGAATATTGGCACAGTTCCGTTAATCGCCCAGACTCACCGGACTGGTAACTACTTTTCAGTTTATGGTTAGCACCAACGAACGTTTTNAATCACATAATAATATCAAATCTCAATCGTAATTATAAATATCCATGATTTCTAACCAAAAATTCTTTATATCGTACCTCACAAACCGTACCGCTCGTTCATCAAATGTGAGAATGAATCACAAATTTCTTGAACTGATTTTATGAAGAAAAGTTCATTACTTCTGAAATTAACATTTATCATTGTTATGAATTAGTTCATATGAAATAATTTAATTTCAACCCAGTTAACCACGCGCTTTATTATAAAGCCATACATAAATGAAAATCTAGTAGGTGGTAGAAAAACTGGCCTCATTTCCATAATCATTATTAATAAATCAGATTTCGTGTAGGAACTATTTGAACAGAATACATTTCCACCTGAAATGATTCATTTTATAAATATATACTATTCCTCCGATTATCAACTAAACCAACCGCCACTGTTTTATGGTCCAACTTACTTTCTGTAAACAAACAAGGTTATGCTACCTCTAATGTAAGGATGGAAAAGCCAGCCCTCTCTATTGTTTTTTGTTACTCTGAGGTTATTTATTTATCAGCAAACATCGAATTGTCAAATGTCATTGTTTTACCGCAGTTGGCAACCATCGGGTCGCATTACTTAATAAGGTCAATGGGATGCGATGGATTCGATATTGAATTACGATTCTCCACCTCAACAAAACTTCTCTCTTACTTACTCTTATGTTTAGATATGCATTGACTATAGGTTGAAGATGATTTTACTCATAAAAACGAATTCAGTTATTTTTAAATTAAACGAAGGTATTTTTATTTTTAGCATTGAGAAGCTAGCATTGAATTTCAACGTTGGCAATTTAAATTTTTCAGTATCAAGTTATGACAGCACAAGAACATCATTGTAGCATTGCTGCCACTACTAGAAAATTCATTATTCGAACTTAGACACAGAATGCCTCAAAATATTGAAGCATCAATGAGTTCCATTCCCAAAACCGGCAGTGGGTTTTTATTGGTTGAATCAAGTTATGAAACATTTTCTGTTGAATTCAGGGTTACTATGTAGGGGGGTTGCGGAGAGTCATCATTTTCAATTCAATTTGTGGCTGCATATGGCGATCAATGTCTATATGTGGCTCATTACTGTTGTAATGTAAATGCTTTTTTTATGTAGTGTATATATATATATATTTTTATATTCTCTGTAGAACGTACCTGAGCTAATTTTGTTATGGCAGATACTTTCTAATGTAACAGAAGTTGTAATTTGTAATTTCGCAACCCCCCTATAAAGTAACCCTGCTTGAATTCAAGAACTCACCTGTTCATGTTGGAGAGATATGAGACATACTAAGAATTTGCCTATAGAATATAGATGGTGTTGGGACCATGCCTTTTAGCTTTTGTTTTATATGCCCTTATTGACTCTATACCAATAATGCCCTCATATTTTATTCTTTAGTTTTGGAAATAATGTATAACAATTTTTTTCATAAGCACTAAAAAAGTTACAATATTGAAATTAACCTAACGTTTTGTACTACCAAAAAGGCACTTAGCCAGAAATTTATTTGGTTTACCCCATGGTTGTAAGGGGTGGAAAACGCAACTCCTAAAATTTATTTCCGATGTATATATATTTTTTGTTGAAA